AGGTTTTCGGACAAATCCAAATAACAACTTTAGCACGGTGATGTTTTACTTCTAGAGGTAAGATAATTGCGCTGTAGACATTCATGTTGAATTCAATCATCATTCATGACAAACTTGAGACGGGCGAGTGACATGGAAATACTAATCCACTGACAAAGTGGCAGAAGATAATGCTAAAATCAGCCCATGGTCAATCCTATGAAGTTGATCATAGTAATGGTCTTATTTGCGTCTTTATGTTAAAGCGCATGACAAAAAAAAGTGTGAGAATTTGACCTTTTAAAAACACTGAGTGCAGAGCAAAAGCGCTCTCACAAGTTTGAAGAAGTAAAGTTGGTCACTGACAGGATTTAATTAGAGTCATTCTGATCAAATGAAAGTCCCAGCCAGAAGCGAAAAGAATTATGCATATTATTAGCCGTACAAATAACTTAAGCATCGCATATTTCAGGGCCGTTCTGGTAGATCTTGAGCCTGGCACGATGGATTCAGTACGTGCGGGACCGTTCGGCCAGTTGTTCCGCCCGGATAATTTTGTCTTTGGTATGTTAAGCGCTCTGTTCCTTCTATCTCGCGCTGTTTTTCCAGAATGTCCACTACACATTTTGCCTAAAATTATCTGACGCAATAGCTTCAGTCACTTTTGTTATACATACATTTGGTAGATAATAAGTCCTTGATTTCCTTATATTTTTGGAGATTTATACCACAGTGTATACCACAGTGCAGTGTTTGACACTAGTTTTTATCGAATAACCCTCCTATACTGTGTCACGACGTTGCAGGATTACGGCAAAAAATTAAATTTGTATTTTGAGGTCAATTGTTTATCAGGTATTAGTGTCAAACCTATTTTATGTCAAATCAATGCTTGCAATAACTCATCATGAATGGCTTATTATACAGATCTAAAAAGTGATGTAGATTGGTGTGGCCTTTTGTGACGAGATGTATTAGGTTATAGGATAGACGCATGCTGTTTTTTCAAACCAGAATTACTAAGAAACCGGAGATTTGGCAACACGTTATATATCATTTGTGAAGAAGTCTTCCTCTGCAAGAAAGTTTAATTGGCTTATCCAATAATTTCGCTGTGTTAAATTAAAAGTGATTGAAATTGAAAGTTTGAAGAACCGAAAAAAGCTGAACCGAAAGCTTAACGTTTTCTAGAATGCAGGGAGCTTAGAAATAGCTGTAATGCTTCTTGTTAGGAAATCGGATATTATTAGGAAAATCCTATGAGTTACTCGCATTGATGACTTACTGCAGTATTACGGCAGTTATGTGCTATCGTGAAAATCATAGAATTTCCTTAAATGTAGTCTTGTGGAGTTATCTGATATGCTGATTACAAAAATGACAACCACACTGCACAATAAGCCCTCACTGTAATATCAGGGTGGGTATAGAATGGTAAGGTCAAATCACTGATCTATTGACAAAGTTGGAATGTCTCATGTCTACCGTGCGGAATGGTTTCACT